ACTGAACTGTTAGCTTCCTGAGGACATGCCCCTGTTGTATATAACAATAACAATAAACAGTTAAGAAATGAATTACATCAAATTACATCAAAACCAATCATAACATTTATAGTAGTGAAAATTTATGAATAGCCAAAACTGATAAACATAACTTTCAAGCTGCTAAGACGCGTTTTCAAAGGAATATTTAAGTAAACATTATTCTCAACTTTGTTCCTGAGGATTTTTACTCCTCAGGAACAATCGTCTGTTCATTTCAAAGTTTGATATTGGACTCACCTTTAGAATACTTGGTCAACTCTAGTTGCACAAATTATGAAAAACATGATATGGAATTAATTCATTGGGATTGTGCATGCAAAATAATGGAACAAATACTACAAAAGCAATGTAGAGAAATGTTAACACTTGAGCTGTGTCCGAATTCAGGGTCTACATCCTTCGAAGGCCAGATTTGTAAGCCGATTACGTCATAACGTGGCGACAAGGCCTGTCCGAATTCGAAGTCTCCTTCAAATGCAGCCTTCTTAACCCAAGATTTGACGGATGGGTCCGGTGTATCCTTCACGGCCCACCACATCCCATGATTATTTTGCTATATTACACTTTAAATGACACAATGTGATTTGGTACAACGTTTTTAGGCGAGAATTTAAGTGTGTTTCTTTCTGCACTCTCTGCTTCACGTTGTCATGGTTGCTAGGCAACATGAGTTACGCTGGGGTCAGGGGGGTGAAGGCTAGACCTGTCCGAATTCACAGCGTTTCTCTTCCGGTCATTATTTATTCGGGGTCCTTCGAAGGATGCAGACCCTGAATTCGGACACAGCTTTAATCTGCATCAGCACAGGAGTTCCTCTTTGAGTTCCCTCTTTGTTACTGTGACTTCAGGACACTGGGAGAAGAAGCTGTGGCTCACAGCACATCGTTCCCAGCACAACTCAAGATGGATGAATCAAACTTCACAGGGTTCAGTTCTAACAGCTCTTCCGCTGGATTACCTCAACACTCTTGGAATCAACGCGGTCTGATCCCTGCAGTGGTATTAACTTTCTGCTATCTAGTTGGAGTTCCTGGAAACATTGCTGTGATTATATTCAAGCCTAACTGGGAGCATCTGTCCAGAACGACCCAGAGTTTAATGATGAATCTGACCATTTCTGATCTAATGTGTCTGCTTACCCTTCCACTGTGGATTTACAACGTACTCCTTGGATGGACATTCGGCCTTGTAGCCTGCAAAGTTCTATCATACTTTGTGTACTTTACAGTTTATGTTAGCCAAATGACTGTGACTGCGTTGAGCATCCAGCGCTACATTGTTGTTGTGCGTGGATGGAAGTGCGATATACAAAAAGGTGTGCTGGTGTTTCTGCTTTGGCTGTCAGCTTTTACTTTGTCCATTTATGTTTTGGTGACTGAACAACTAACGAAAGAAGGACAATGGATCCGCTGCATACCCCAATATTCTTCTGAGGCACAGTGGCTTGCTGTGCTGTTCACAGAGATCTTGTTTGGACTTGCTTCATGTTCACTTGTCACATTATCATACATATCTCTCAACAAAAAGGTTAGGAGTTCAGCCTTTTTTAACAATCCACAGACAAGCAGGCTGCTTATTAGCATTATTTTAAGCAATTTTATTATGTTTTTTCCACTTTATATGGTCAATATGCTGGCTGTGTTAGGGATAATTCTTAAAAACAAGGAGCTCCTGAAGTTTTGTGTAGACAGTTGGAGTGTAGTCAAGTCATTTACATTTACAAATAGTACCATAAATCCACTCTTGTATGCTTTTATTTCTACTAAATTCTGTCCTTGTTGCACAAAGAACTCACCCAATACGGATGAGAGAACTTCCCGAAACACCTGACATTGCTACAATTGCAGAACTTTGATGACGATAGTGACAAATGTCACTTTTCTCCCCCAAAAAAACTGAAATAAGTTTGTTTCTTTTCATTTAAACTGATGTCACATCTTCTACTATTTCCGTTTCATTTTTTTTCTGCAATTGCATGAACCAGGAAGTTGATTTTGTCCCTTTGTTTATGTAAAATTTATCAAATTACACTTTATATAATTGTATCACTACATTTGGTTTACCAATTACTTTTTTACCCATTGACCTTTGCAAGTAGTATTTTAATTTGTTGTCCTTATACGCCACTTTTTTCTATGCTCACACTGTTTAGACTGGTATTTGAATTTCACCTGTATCTATATTTACTGCTTGTTTTTTTTTAATGACTTTTTCAAAACATACATATAAATACATTGCTTTCATATTTGCTCTCTTCTTACTCTCAATCACAATGAATTTGTACTGAATTCTGTCTAGAAAACATGGTGAAATTTTTAAATAAATCTTATGTTGAAATATTTCTTCCTTTCAGAGAAATAATTAACAATGCATACATTCATATTGATTTGGTTTATTTATTGTCCCAATTCAAATCAAATACTTGTTATAAAACAGTAGAAGTTCTCCTGTAGGATAGCGATAGGTAAAAGGTTTGTTATCTACATAAATCCAACTAAAAGCATCAAGTTCAGAACCTTGCAGCAATTTCTCATGCCTAGCGTGTGTGGAAATTAAAACTCCTTTTTGATAAGAAGACATCCTCAACAGTGTCAGTGTACATAATAAGACGTCACAACTAACTTAGGCTCTGAAAATACAGAGTAGGCAAACAAAGAACTCAGAGGTCAAATACATTTTTAGCTACATAGGTGCTATTTCCTTTTACCATGTAGGTCTCACAACACATGCTTCATTTCTTGGCACAACTGAGAAAGGAAAAGCAAGATGTTTTTCAGTGAAGCACCCAAATCGCAACTAGATTTCAAACACTTATATTGCCAAAATTGTTTTGTAGTTTGAGAAGTACTCACGCAGATATAGCCCTCTGTTACCACAGTTATAGCCTCAGCTTTAGGTAAATGTGTTGATAAGTAAAAAGTACGACCATATTCAATAAATTAAAATTTGTGCTCCGATGTGGCTCGTTTGTTAGATCAAAGGTGCCTTATGATATTAACAACCTTTAAGCAGGTATTTAAAATATTATTTTCTTTTATCCCACATTCCTGTATCAAAACGATTGTTTTTAGATCAGTCTCATATGCCGGTAATCTATTTTTAAATGAGTTTTCATCACATGTGAGTAGAAAATCCTAATTAACAGAAATTAAGGCTTGAAAACTGTCTGTGTAAATAATCTGTGTGTAATTAATGTTACAATGTGATTCACTTGGTGAATTAAGTTAATAAAATAAATGTCTTTTGAAAAAACAATGACTGTAGTATCTATCTATCTATCTATCTATCTATCTATCTATCTATCTATCTATCTATCTATCTATCTATCTATCTATCTATCTATCTATCTATCTATGTAATCATGGGGCATTTTTGTTTGTAGTTTTGTTTAACAGCATTGAAAATCGACTCAAAATTCTGTTTCCGACTATTTACCAAAGATGGCATATAAAAGTTAGGGTAACACTTTATTTGAAGGGGTGAGCATAAGACTGACATGACACTGTCATAAACATGACATAACATCTGTCATGAACATAAAGAAGTCTTTATGAATGTTTATAACTGTTGTCATGAAGTGTCATTCGGTAAATAATGACACTTTTAATGCAAAGTTGCTCTGAAAGTTGCATTAAAAGTCCATTAAAAGTGCCAACTTTGCATGATTTTGTAAATTATGATGATTTAATGCAAAGTTGGCACTTTTAATGGACTTTCAATATTATGGACTTTCAGTATTACCCCTGTTAATGGAAGATGGTATACTCCAGGAGCATTTGTCTCCTTTTCTGCTCCACCTTGCTGAGACACACCCAGAAAGGCAAGTACCCAAACAATCAACTCAAATTGAACCAATATCTAAATCAGAAACAAACTGACATCTTCCCCCACATTCTCTGAACAGGAAAGATGGCCAGTCTCCCTACCCAAAAAGAATGTTCACTAAATGTCACAATGTAACTGAAATAAAGAACTGATACAAAACACATTTAGACTGTAAACAAATAACATAATATCAATAATCAATATGGGATGGAACCCCTGGTCTTCATCACACATTGACCGAATACATGGTTTAGTATCTTGCTTGGTCTATCTGCAAAGTACTTGTTTCTAACTCAGGTGTAAAAATAGAGATGGTTTCTTCAAAATCTACTGTGACTTCATGCACACTCATGCAGCTATTAATAGAACAGCTGTACATTACATATCATCGTCACATTCTCACAGGTCCTCTTTGACTTCCCACTAGACATTTGCAAGCATCAACTGTTAAGATTGGACGGAGACAAAACAATGGATCAACTTAATTTCACCGTGGCCACTTTAAACGTGTCTTTCCCGGGACATCTACCACATTCCTCCTGGTACTACAATGGTCTCGTCCCTGCAGTGGTACTCTCCTTCTGCTTTGTCCTGGGAGTACCTGGAAACCTCGTCGTCATTCTTCTCAAGTCTAAATGGAAGGAGATCTCCAGTCGGAGCCAGAGTTTAATGCTGAATCTGGTCATTTCTGATCTGCTCTGTTTGCTGACCCTACCACCAAAGATATATGCTTTGTTATTTGACTGGAAATTTGGCTTGGTGGCCTGTAAGACTCTGAATTATCTTATGTACACCAGCATTTATGGCAGCCAGTCGACTGTGACTGTGTTAGGCATTCAGCGTTACCTACAAGTGGTCCATCAGGAGAAGTGGCATCAGGGACAAAAACGAGTGCGGCTGGTTCTACTCTGGCTGGTCGCCATCATCCTGTCCATCCCTGTTTTGGTGGTTTGACAGGTGACAACAAACCAGCAGTCGACCGTCTGCCAACCACGGTACTCCTCTGAGGCACAATGGGTGGTTGTGTTGCTAACAGAGACGCTGTTTGGATTCGTTTCTGTGTTGCTTGTGGTGATTTCATACATTCGTCTAAACAGGAAAATTAAACATGGCATGTTTTTCAACAATCCAAAACCAACTTGGCTGATTACCAGCATCATTGTGAGTAATTTTGTTCTCTGGGCTCCATTTATTGTCATAAATGTACTCGGTGTGGTGGCTATTTGTGCCAAAAACAAAGGCTTGTTAAATTTTTGCTCAAAGACGTGGGACCTTGTTAAAGCTCTTACAGAGGTAATTAGGCGCTTAAATCCTCTCTTGTATGCCTGTAACTCGAGAAAAATTATGACAACATCCTATATATATATATATATATATATATATATATATATATATATATATATATATATATATATATATATATATATATATATATATATAAAAGGACCATATTGTGTGATCTATCTGGCAATTATTTCAAATCGTGTGTGCGTTAAATAATTCACTTTTGACGCTGGTGGGAGAATATTTGTTTTCTAACATAACCTTGCCTAGCAATATATACTAACAAGAGCTGGTTTCTGTCTCTGCTCATAGCAGAACAAAAAAGACTGTACTCTTTCTCTTTAGGTTGCAATGCTGACGTGTTAAAAATAAAGTGTAACTCAGTTCCTGATGTGCTTTCCGGAATGATGTATATAAATATGCATTTTTTATTTTCAATGTTCATTTGTGGAATGTAAATTGATGCAACAAAAATGTTTATGAAGTCTGTCTGTCATACATATTCCTAAAAACGACCATTTTCTATAAAAATACAGACTGATTTTTTTATAAGCCTTAATTTCTCTTCGTAATGAGAATTTTCTGCTTACTGCTAATGTTAAGATTAAAATGTTAATTCAGACAAATAAACAGCATTTTTAATATAGATATGTGTGCTCAATAAAATATGTTCAATACCTGCTTAGAGATTGAGATTTTCAAAAGCAACAACAAAAGGCTATTTTTTTTTTTTTTTTAAATAACATGAATATCAACCTGACTAAGAGAAGGCAGCATTTTCATTTGGCTATTTTCTCTCTTTAAAGAAGTAATTGGCAAAAAAAGAAAAGAAAAAAAAGAACTACTTCCTTTTCACCATTGGCTAAAACTGCTCTCCACACAATCTGCATACAAGCATTGATGTGCAAAAATCTCTATCTCTGGATTTTACAGTGGTGGTAGAGACAAACTAACCCAACCTAAATTAGTGCAGCTGCGCTAAAAGGCAGTTCTACCAAGCACTGACTGGAGGGAACTGGAAACAAATCTTCACTATTTGACTGACAGCAGACATGGCCCATTTTAGAGGCCGTATCTGCTGACATAAGAATAACGATTCTTCAATATGTGCTTCTAAGAAACAGGTCACATGTTAAACGTGAATGTTTTTCCCCTGAAACTTTATTTCTGGTGGAAGTCGTCTTTATTTGGTGAGCAATATTTTTGCTTACCACATAATGCAAACACAAGAGAAGGTTTCCTCTCACTTGTGGCTTGCATATGTCACACAAACCACGAGGTTGTGGAAACTTGTCAAAACTAAGACTTTAACGTTAATATGTTAATTTGTAAGCACTCATGCACGCCACAGCCAGAAGATCTGTGCTTCTTTTTCTTTCCACTGGTTTCAAACAAGTTACAAGAATAAAAACACCTGTAGAACAGGACAAAAAAATAAAAATATTATGCCCTGTTTGTTTCTCATCTCAGATTTTGGAGGAAGTATTTAGTTTCACTTTTACAAAAATGTTTACCAGAGATCCCTCTGTTTAACAGCATTCGCCACATAGCAGAATAGCAGATATTTTGTTAATATGCCCAGTACTAATACAATGAATTCACTCAGTGTGCCCACCTGCCCACTCCATTCCGTTCACAGCGCATTCATGTTGAGAGAGGCAGGAAAGGATTGTGCAGACATGATTCCTTCAGTAAAAATGAAAAAGTCCAGCAATTTCAGAACACTTCAAAAGATTGAAAAAGGTTGGACAAGATGTTTGACATTCAATATAACAACTCAGAGAACAGAACGTTTTTGAGTCACCTGCTCATGCAGCTGGGTGTCAACAAAGCACCTCCCCTTCCTTTTTAGAGAAATGCAATTTGTTCATGATCACAAGTTTCCCTTTTTTTGCCTCCAAGTTCTACTTTGACTGGGCATTTGACACCTATCGCTTCATGTTAACCCCCATCACTTGTTCAGAGAACAACTTTGCAGACAAGGTCCGGCATGGAGCAACTCACTTCCACTGTGGTCAACGCTAACTTCTCTACTGCAGGACATTTGTCGCCGCACCCCTGGAATACCAGTGATCTTGTCACCGCGGCGGTGTTGTCCATCTGTTTTCTCCTGGGAGTTTCTGGAAACATCGCGGTGTTAATACTCAAGCCCAACTGGCAGAATATGTCCAGTATGAGCCAGAGTTTAATGATGAATCTGGCCATTTCTGACCTGCTCAGTCTGCTGACCCTTCCACTGTGGATATACGCATATTTGTTTGGCTGGAAATTTGACCTGGTGCCATGTAAACTTTTAGCATACGCCGTATACTGCAGCATTTATGCCAGCTTGCTGACTGTGACTGGACTAAGCATCCAGCGGTACCTTGTCGTGGTGTGCCAGAGAAGGTGTCAGCAGGTAAAAGGGAGAACGCTGCTGTTCTTGTTCTGGTTGGTTGCCAGTATCTTGGCCATCCCTGCTTTGGTGGTTCGGAATCTGCAAATAAAACAGCAATGGATTAGTTGCCAAGCACAGTATTCTTCTGACGCCCAGTGGGTGACTGTTCTGCTGACAGAGACTGTGTTTGGATTCATTTGTTTTATTCTCGTGGCATTTTCATATGTTTGCCTACAAAGAAGGGTTAACCAGTCAGCCTTTTTCAACAACCCACAGACAACCCGTCTATTAACCAGTATCATCGTCAGTTTTTTTGTTCTGTGGGCTCCATACCATTTAATAAATGTGCTGGGAGTGGCAGCAATATGTTTGAAGAACAACAATTTGCTCAACTTTTGCCATGAAACCTGGAGTATTTTTGGAGCAATGACATTCATAAACAGTTGTCTAAATCCACTCCTGTACGCATTCACTTCTCATAAAATGTGCAGTTTTTGCAGAAAAACAGAAGAGTTGCAGCAGAGGTTCAGAAATTTCCAGACGGAGATCAGTACGATTACAGAAACTCGATGACAACAATAATATGGTTTGACACCTTTCATGCAAAATAGAAATGTTTCTTTCACAGGCAAAAGCATTTTTGTGTTATCTTTTATGTGCAATGTCAGATTACTTTTTTCAGAGCTGGTTGTAGAGCACTTTTGTTTTGTTAATCACTTGTGAAATTAAATCCTGGCACAAAAGATCTTTATGAAAATGTTACTTGGTCTGAGGGATTTTTGTCTTATAATTTTTTTATTTTTTATTTTTTACATAGAACACAAACTCTTTCAAAACTTCTATTGTTGTTGTTTTTAACTAAAATCATTTCGTGTATAGCTTCCTTCCTGTGTCAATGGACCTGAATCTGACTTGGACCAAGATAGAAAGACTAGAATGTTTAGTGGAAGTAGTCGAGGAATTAGGCTGGTTGAAAGAAATAATGCATTTGGTCATGTCAATCTGTTGCAGCTAACTTCTACTTTGGCGATCTGTGACATTTAGGATTTTGTGAACGAAAATGCCAACAAGGAAGCACAGTGACAATGATGTTAGAGAAGTGATTCTTTATTTGCATGTATGTTTTTACCTATGTCTAGCACAAATCGTGTTGCTCTGGACATCCTCATCACAAAAAAACAAAAAAAAAAACAAAGTGCAGTTATTCAATGATACCTTTGATAATACATGAAACAACAATAAGCTCATGACAAGCTTGGTTATCACGTTAACCAGTCAGTTAAAACACTATTAACTCTAAACTTAAATTTCAGCAAATAATTCAAATTCTAAGTCTAAATTCAGACTGACAAAGAAGAATACATTACTGTAGGTTGCATTTACAGTTTCCACCTTTGGAAAATAAAGTCACCTAAAATATATTTTAACAAATAACACATGCAAAGATAATTATATTTTTAATAATCCAAACAACAACAAAAACTAAAACTAAGGAAGGGCTTAACTGCCAATAACAGATATTTTACTCTCTTTTTATGATGTCCTAGGAAATGTGTCAGCTGAACCGAGCAGGCAGTGATAGAAAACAACGATGACTGAATTGCTTATTCAGATAAAGAACAACTAGAGTTGGTTGATCAAGTTTCCAGCTCTTATCACACAAGTGCAATCTAACCAAGCATTTTTCGACTGCATGACAAAATTTAAAAACCTAACCAATGAAATCCAGCCCCTTTTTAGTGGTTGTTCTTTTTTTTTTTTTGTTTTCTTTTAAATTCCTCTTAACTTGACCACTTTACTTCTGTGACAGCACATTTAGCACTTCTAACTGATCGATGCATCATGGATAATAACTCCAGCATGAACACCTCTGATTTCGTTCTACCTCCTCGCACCTGGGTGCATAACGGACTGATCCCTTCGGTACTGCTGTCCTTCTGCTTTCTCCTGGGAGTTCCTGGAAACATCGCAGTGATTCTTTTAAAGCCCAACTGGCAGAACATGTCCCGCCTGAGCCAGAGTTTGATGCTCAACTTGGCCATTTGTGACCTGCTCTCTCTGCTCACTCTCCCACTGTGGATTTACGCTCTGCTCAACTCCTGGATATTCGGCCTTGGAACCTGTAAGCTTTTAGCTTTTCTCGTGTACTGCAGCCTTTACGCCAGCCTGCTGACTGTGACGGCGTTGGGTGTCCAGCGGTACATTGTGGTGGTGAACCAACAGAGATGCGTTCAGGTACAAGAATGTCACCTGCTGGTTCCATTGTGGTTTGGTGCCATGATCCTGTCTATCCCTGCTTTGGTGATAGAACAGGAGGAAACTAACGAGAAGTGGACGTACTGCTACCCTCAGTTTTCATCTCGGGCTCAGGGATTGGCAGTGCTGCTGGCAGAGACCACATCTGGCTTTGTTTCCATTTTTGTCGTGGCCTATTCCTACATTCACCTCAACAGGAGGATTAGACAGACAACCTTCTTCAACCATCCACAGACGACCAGGCTGCTGACCAGCATCATTGTAAGCAATTTTGTTCTGTGGTCTCCTCTTCTTACCATAAATATGTTGGCCCTGGGAGCTCTCTGCTTCGAAAATGACAGCTTGTTGAAGTTTTGCGTGGACATATGGGACATTGTCAAAGCAATGGCTTTTCTGAATAATTGCATTAACCCACTGCTGTATGCCTTTAGCGTCCATAAAATGTGCAGAGCCTGCATGAACCAAGAAGAACTGGCACAGCCTTCACAAACACTGAATATAAGTACAGTTGCAGAAACTATGATTATCAAACCAATAAATGAATAAATAAACGAAAGCATAGTATTACCGATAAAAGTGAAAGAATGATAAAGTCATATGAAAGTAACATAATGTGTTGTCTTTTAGGAACTCTGAGATTGGGGCTGTTGAAGAAGCTAAATGTAAAATTTTAAAAGAATATCAAATGCACAATTTTAAGTTATATATTTTTTTGTCTTCTTTTTCTTTTTATGTAAACAGGAAAACATAAAAAAACACTTTAACATCCATACTAGGATGATCAGGTGGTTGTAATCTGTCTACTATTGTTTAGGCTGTAACAATATTCAGCTTCTGAGACGCGACAATACAAGATACAAGGTTTTCACTGAGTACAGTTTTCACAAATTACAGACTGTGCATGAAGTAATCAATAATCCTTGTTGAATATTCCAGCCCTGATATAAAACCAGTCCATTTATTTTGGGTTTTATGCTCAGAAAGCATGTCAAATTCCACTTTTATTTTTCACAAGTGGAATAACTGCACCATGAATTTTGAACTATGTTTGAAAGAATCTCTATTGAGTGTAAAAATATTGTGTTGAGGTTTGCTTTGTCTAAATTCTGTTGGATGAGACGCAGTCTAGACTACAAGGTTTTATTTAAAATGCTGATAGAAATTAGGGTTGTCAGTAAAATTAACAGGAAAACGTATTATCTTAGTCTCTCTACCCAAATCTGCCATTTAAAATGTTATATTAACATTTTATTTCAGTCATTCAGTGTAGAACTTGTTGACTATAATTGAAGTTAAAGATCGCAGATGTTTACACTCAGCCTTTCTTAGTAAAACAATTTATTTATTTTTTTAGATATTTGTACCAATCAGCTGAAGCGTTTTATCCTTCACTTCATGTCTTCATCTCACTGACTGTACTGTATTAAACCACATATGTATACTTGCATAATGCCTATAAACACACACACACACACACATGCACACGCACACACACACGCATGCTGACATACAGCTCTGTTCTGGAGACACAAACACTCTGAGACTTGGGCTTTTTTTTTATATAACCCTAACTTTTTAGAATTATATAAAACACGATGGAGTGTCACAGTTTTGTGAGCTATTGATCTAGAAATGAAGCAGTGGATTGAGCTGTGGTTTACCCAAGATGCAATGCAAACCTTGTGGTTAAAAGAGTATTTTTTGTTAGAGCATAAATGATGTGCTTTTTCTGATGTGACCTATATTTTCTCAGCGTATGTTTTCAAGAGTTGGCATGGCTTTGTGTGACTTCATGTGGTTGTGGAGGGCGCCACGCTTCATCACTGCAACATGCTAAAAACTGCATTTCTGTAAATGTGAATTTAAGATCAATTTAAAAAAAAACATTGTTTCATTTTTGTCACTACATTCAAAATACATGCAATGTTTCCACCTTTCAGCTCTGCTTGTTTGTTCTGCTTTACACTCAAACGTAAGGGTGAACGCTGCCTAGCAACCGTTGCAGCCAGATTGCCAGTGTGTGACTGTAGCATCACTGGCATCATTGTGGTGGACTGGTTTAAGAACACAGCTCATGTGTGATGATGGTAAACTGACTGGATTTATTCACTTTGAACTGAGAACTGAATATTTAAATTTGAACTGAGGCCAACATTTACTTTTGCTTTATTTAGAAGAACACATATCTGATTAGTGTATTAAAGCTGCAAAGTGAAGCAGTTTTTGGCATTGTCTTTTTTGCAGCATGAAGGGTGTGGAGACCCAGTTAGGATTTTCATTTCCTACAGGAACAGGTGGCGGTTCTGTTCCTGTTGGTGGAGCTTTCGTTACTGAGAACTGTGTCTTATGAACAGTTACGATGTTTGAAAAGACACTTTTGAAAATGAAAGTACAATAAAAGGCTGTAAAAAAAAAGGCTGACCTCCAGAAACACATGGTCTGTTTGCTGTGAGACATGCAAAGAAGCGCAGGCCAAAAATGGCAGCAAGTGTTTGATGTGGAAGTTAGAAATAGAAAGAGAGAGAGCTGATTCAAAAAGATTGAGGACCAATTAAGGACAACGAACATATCTGTTGGCCTAATTCAGACTTTTACCCTCAGGCCAGTATTAGAGAGCGCTAATGGCAAAATCTAGTCAACTGAACACAGACGCCGTTTCTGTCCGCAAGCCGTCTGTCTGCTGAACACAATGAGTACCTGCTGCTCATCTTGAGACAAGTCAGCATATTTGCACCTGCACAGGAGGCCTTTACTCTCCTTATGTAGATGTTTGCATGTACATAGTGTGTGAGAGGTATGGTTCAGTGATTCAAAAGATTTTGAAGAGAAAATAGTGAGTAATTCTGCTCAGAACCACTTCATTCAGCCTGCCACAGCCGGCGCCAAACATCAAACAAATGCCAGTGGTCTCTTCCCAGCTGACTACATTGTTTTTGTTGTTGTTGTTGTTGTTGTTTGCCAAGCAATGACTGACAATCTGAAAGGGGCTTATTGTCCAGAGGATCCCACAGCGCATCACACTAGATTCAGTCATTCAACCAAAAATTCACACTTTGATGGGGACATGCTAGCTAGTTAGCTTGCTTGTTACATATTTGATCATCTTGAAAACTTGTGCTAACTACCTTCACCATCAGTCAATTTCAGCTTTTTTTTTATTGCACAGCTTAGCTTGCTTAAAATACTCAGTTTTATTTATGCATGCATTTTATTTGTTTGCTTGCCTTTTTATTAGATTTTTTATATGCTTTAGTTAGCAGTTATGGCATAGTTACTTTGAAAAAGTAACTTTAATCGGATTACTGATTACTCCTTGAAAAAGTAACTTAGATTACTGATTACTTGATTTGGAAAGTAGCTAAATTAATTTAAAAATAACTTTTTTTATTTCTAGTTACTTATAATCGCTGCTAACAACAACGCTCTGCCACCTATGAAAAGTACATTGATTGCAAGTTGTTTTATAATGATAAAATGATAACATAATTTTAACCCTACCCTACCCTAACTCATAACCCTAACCCCACACCTATATGGTTGAACTGAAGGGGAGTACAAAAAAACTTCAGTATTTTGTGTGTTCCAGTATTGTCTGGAGAACTATAAACAGATTTGCAACTGGAAGCCTGCACCTACCGTCTTTACATTATTTGTCATATTTGCATACATAAGGTTGAGGGAAAAAATGGGGAAAATTTAAGCCCATTTTGTCCCTATTCTCAAGAATCACTGGGGTGTTTCCACGTTTATTGCGCTGTTCATATTATTAGTCTCTATGTTTGCAATTTGTTTTAGCGCAACGCGAAGCTCGACGTCATTCACATGTAATATATTAGCTTGACATTAACAAAAACACAGCGGGATCATCCGGGAAATGATGGACAATTAGACTCTGACTAAAACCAACTGTTTATCAGACAAATCCTGGGGTTTATGTCTGTTTATTTCCAATCCCAAAAACCGCAACACGCGACTCATTAAATCTTCAAGCGACTTCAGAAAAAAACAAAAAAACAAGCCGAGCTGCTTATAATAATTGGACTTGGCGACAAAAACTAAAAATAGTTCCTGTTTTTCCAGCAACAAAATGCGCATCTCCCTCTAACCCCCATTGTTTATGTTTCTGTCGCTACTGATACCGTCGCCTAGAAACGGCGGCCACTCCTCAAGACGTGTAGTGGAAATAAAAGTAAATTACAAAAGAAAATATTAACGCACAGTAACGCAAATTGATTTCTGTGGACAGTTACTTACTACATACGTAAATAACGTAGTGACGTCACTACGATATTTACGTATGTAAATAACGTAATAACGTAGTGATGTCACTACGTTATTTAAGTATTATTTACGTAATTAACTGCCCACAGTTACTTACTACATACGTAAATAACGTAGTGACATCACTTAGTGACATCACTAACTGATGTCAGTAAGTGATGTCACTTACTGACATCACTGTTAGTTAGTTGTTTTATTTATTTATTTATTTATTTATTTATTTATTTGTGTGTGCATTTATTTATTTATTTATTTATTTATTTATTTATTTATTTATTTATGTGTGCATTTATTTATTTATTTATTTATTTATAAGAATTGTTTTTGCCATCCCAAACAAAAACCTTTTCCTGTTGTTTTGTGAGGTGACTCCAGTTCACTTTGCTGATGAGAAGATTTTTGAAAAGCCCATAGAATAATTTATAATTTCGTTATGACAACTTGACATTAACCAAGAAATCATGATCTGACATAAATTTGTTATAAAACTATTACTGATTAAACTTTAGGTTTAATAACATAAAGCTACATAATTTTTAACGTGTAATCAGTAATGGTTTTATAACAAATTTATGTCAGATCATGACATAAAATTCCCTTCAAATGTTTTTTAAAGGGAAATGTAGGGAATGTAAATGAAGATAACATGTTGCCTTTTTTGATACTGGGATAAGCCAAAGCCCTTGGAGAGAACCCAGATTTGCATAGGAATATTGTTGAAACTCCATGCAGAAACATCCAGTGGTGGATCAAATGTGCATTCATGCACTCTTTTTCGAAGGAAATGTAGTGAGCCTAATTAAATGAAACTAAAATGTTGCCTTTTTTTGATACTGGGATAAGCCAAAGTGCTTGGAGGGAACCCAGATTTGCATAGGAATATCGTGGAAACTCCATGCAGAAACAAAGTGTTGGAATTTGAGCCTTGGTGAAAAGCACCAGTGTTGTGTGTTTTGCAACCCCATCTTGAACTGCTCTAAGGGGCAACAGGCATCGGTTCATATCAGTTTTGGTTCTTCACTGAGATATTGGCTCATCTCAGTGGAGGGACAATCGTCCTTGTCAACCCTTGCTGAAGAAAAGAAGAAGGTCATACTCTGAAGTTTGTCCTTGAGAGTAGCCTTGGTACTTTTGGCATTTTGTTTGTGTGAAGACTTACGTTGCTCACATCTGTTGTCTGACAGAGTCCTTGGGGTGTGGTCTTGTTGTAAACCTTTTTGTTGGACTTTCTCAGCATGCTTTAGCAAAAAGCTGTTTTGCTGGGTCAGAATTTTCTTCTTCCCTTCTAATGTCCTGTAGG